TAAGGTGCCCTGCAACATCTGTTGACTCAAGAGGGGGATTAGGCCCTATTGGTAGTCTCATGGTTCTCATTCCTTTCTCCCACCAGATGAATGGTTTCCATTTGTCTAACCAGGCTAACCCTAGAATTACTGTCTCAGTCATTTTTGGAGCCACCAGGAAATGAATAAATTCCCAGTGTGCACCTATTTCTAGGCGTAGGGGCTCAGTTAATTGTGTGACAAGAGTCCCTCCCATCAGGGAGCCATCGGCTTGCTCAAACCTCACCGGTTTGGAAAGCTGTTTTGCCCGTATGCCCATTCTCATTGCAAACTGCCGACTAATAATGCAGCGGGTGCATCCAGTATCAATTAGCACATTTAAGTCCATTTGTGCCCCAGACTTAGGGATTATAAGCTTGGGGGCCAGTGAAAAAGGCGGGATTTGTTGACTCACCATCGGGTCGTTCTCTCCTTCATCGTCGCTGTCAAAGGAGGGTAGAGCAGGGGCGGGTCCAACCGGAGTCCCAGCGTCCTCCTGTGTGGGGGGTGTAATTTGGGCGACAGGTTCCTGTGTGAGCCGGTTGGATTTTTCTCTCGTTAGCCACTGAGCAGGTTTCTTTCGCATTGCTGGTTCTGGTCTACTCTGCCGTCGGGGGTAGGGGATTTGACAGGTGGCCGCTCGATGTCCTTCTTGTCCACACCGGAAACACTTAAAGGAAGGGCGTGTTGGTGGCCTGGGTCTTTCAGCCATTGCCGTAGTTGAGGGCTTTCGTGGGGGTGATTGCTGTCCGGGTAGCTCTGGTTGCTGCTCGGGTTCGTGTGGGGGAGGCTTCTTATAGCGAGAGAGCTTAACGTCTAGCTTCACTGCTGTCTGGTACCACTCCTGTAGCCGATCGGGTACTTCTCGATAGATGCAAGCCTGAGAGAGGTGATCGTCCAATCCCTCAACAAAGTATTCGGACCACCCCTCTGTTCGGCCTGCTAACTTGCGGAACTCTCGCACGTACTCCAGGGCAGGCCTCCCAGCTTGTTTTATTTTGTGAATTTGTCTTGCTGCTTTGAGGCCTATGGATGGGTCCTCAAATCGTTCTTTCAGACCTAAGAGGAAAAGGTGGGGATCTTCCAATTCGGGGGCTTGCTCACTATATAAATTATTCAGCCATTCAGCTGCTTCTCCCTCTAGGTTGGATGCAAATACGTCGACCATGGCACCTGGGTCCGGAT